TACGCTAGTATATATATATTATACAAAAGGCACTTGACTAAAAATTTTTGAAGGTTTGGTAATCCAACATTATTTTTTATATTTTAAATAAATAATGGCTATCTTATAATTTACATAAATAGATGTTGGGCAAACTATATTATTAATCTCTTTACTTTAATTTTTGTGCCATTTTGATCCTTGTAAATTAAATTGGATCAATTTTTACCCTGATTTTTTAATTTTGTCTCAAAGTGGCCCAATTGTTTTCAATTGTTAGCATTTTTTTATGACAAATGTGTATATAAGCGGCATGTATTATACTTTTATGATCAAAATTGTAAATTTGATCAATTTATTAACTTAATCCCAACTAATTCAATGAAATTTTGTTGTCAAAATCTCTAACGATGTTATTAGAGCGTCTCTAATGCTTCATCTTTTATTTCATCAAATTTAAATTTGATATAAAAAAAAGTACAAAGTTGATACTCGAACGTTAACATCAAATCAATATCAAATTAAGGATATCTCAAATCTTTCATCAAATTAAGGACGTTAGAACCTTTCAACAATTGACTGTAGATAACTGTTAGCTTTATAGATGGCTAGTCGAGAAGAATGACTGACCGGATATCCGGCCGATTGTCCCCTCGGTCGACCATTTCTTTAGAAAAGTCTGTTTTAGAATTTGAAAAATTTACACTAGCCAGTCGGACATTCCCTGATTGACCAGTGGTTTGCTGAAATCTCAAATTATTCTATTGAAATGCGTAATATCAGATGAAACTTTTACTCAAATTTGTTGGAAGAAAGGTAAACATTGGAAATGCTCTGAGTTGGACCAAATTGATGCAAAATTTAAAATTAATTGTCAAAATTAAACTAATTAAAATGTAAGGACTGAGATGACACAATTGACAAAATATAAAGACTAATTTGTCTATAAATTTTTTAGCAAGTTATTATTATTATTATTATATAAAAAAAACGTATTTTCCCTTTAATCAGATCTACCAAATCTGATATAATAAATAAACTTAATATAATTTTACAAAAAAAATACAAAAAATAGAGAGAAAAAAAAAAATTTGGCCTTTTAGTTTAAAATGTTAGTAAAGACAAGAAAAATAAACTCATAATATCTTTGATTAGGAAAAAAAACAAACAAACAAAAATCTTAAAGGTTATAGTACATTCATCAAATGCACGACATGCACACATGAATGGATTTGTTTTATAATAATGTAGTTAACAAAGACTATGTTTCCAATGTAAAAAGGATAGACACTAAAAAAAATTCTAATCATAAACAAAAAATGATACCCCAGTAGCTTAGGTCACATTACCATAAAAAATGGATTAAAGAAGTTAATTTTTTTGGACAAAATTTGTAATTTGGTAAGGAAATTTTTTTGTCGCAAAAAGGAGCCAAATATTTTGGCACCATACGAATTGATAATAAAAACGACATTGTTTTTTATTTTATTTTTGGGACTATTGTAGAAAAAAATAAAAAACGATGTCGTGGTTATGTATAGCTCCTTTGCTCCTTCAAGTCTCACTTTAGGTGTACAGTCAGAAGGTTGAATATCTTTATTAACTGGTTTTACTTGCTTTGGTTTTAGCTATGTTGTGGTTCACTTTCCCATATTTTATCTTGCTAATTTTTTTTTTATTCTCTGCATGGGTTTGGGGTGGCTTGAACCACATAAAGCACTTGAAAATTATAAATGTTTAGGGAAGCAATTTGTTTTTTAGAATACAAAATACAAGAAATTAGAAAATGGGAGAATGATTTGATACAGTTGTGTTCAGTAATATACATACACTAACTAAAGATTTGATGCACTAAGGACCCTTGCATACTACTATACCCACTGCCACTCACAATTGAATCTTGGGTTGTGAATAGAGCTTCTCTTGTATTAATGCTATGCTTATTATTTGATTTTATTATTTATATTTATTCTGTCATTGATACTTTAGATTCATAATAAATAATACTAATATATGAGCACTACTACAAAATTGGTTAAAGGTCACAATTTTTAACTTTGACCTTATACTTTTAGTCTTAGTTTTTTTTTAATACAAAAACTGTGATGAATGAGGGTGTGACTGTACAAGTTATATCATAAATATTTTGCTTTTTAATTTGGCCATTGCGCATACCATATAATTTAAATATATTGAAGCATAGAGGACCTTGTAGGAAAAAATATGTACCTGTCGAAGAAGTAGTTCAGCAACAACACAACCAGCAAACCAGAAGTCAATAGCTGTAGTGTACTCCGTCGATCGAAATATAAGCACAGATGTAAGATGTATTGGCCTCTCCTTTTACCTGCCAAAAATAAGGAATGAAGCATTTCAACCAAAACACAAAACTAAGGAAGAGGGGAAAAAATTAAAAGACATAAACCAACATGTCAAAATTTTAAAAATTCCAAAATGAAGTTGTTATTTGTAAAAGAGTTAATGAGGTGGTGGGAAAATAGCATATATGAAAGGGCATCATTAGTGATGAAAAAATATAAAATAATTATAATTACACATGAGGGTTTATAGAACTCTAATAAGTATATAGCATATTAATTAGGATACATGTTAGAGTGTAAATCCTTTTGGAAATTAGGCCAAATGTTATAATTTGCATATGGTACACATCTCAAAAGGGGTGTAGTAGCATGACCATACATACCACACATAAACCCATATAAACTCTAGTTTGGAATGAATCAATAAATCAAAGACCCCAGAAACAGAAGAACAATAATTTTTTAAAGGCATTTTTCTGTTTCATGTATCTTCATGCTTTTGTAGAAAAAGCAATAAACAACAAAGAAGGGGGGGAGGGAAGAAAAAAAAAAGAAAAATAAGAAGTAAATTAATAATTTAGTGTCTTTGAAGTTTGAGGGTTTTGAGTGAAAATAGGTTTTTCTCGAATCAAGTAATTTTGATATTTTTTATTATTATTTAATGGAAAATCAAGATGTGTGTATTTGCTAGTTCAATATGCGGTCAGATGTGTTATTTGACATGAATGTTGGAGGTAATCCTATCATCACTCTATTTCAATCCAGATGATTTTTTATTTTTTTATATTTTCTTTATTAATTTGCTTGTGTTTATCATTGTTACTTACCTTCTATTGAAGCAAAAAATAAATAAATAAATAAAATAAAAAGGAAAAAGAAAGAAAGAAAGAAAGAAAGAAAAAGAAAAAGAAGCCAAGGATGGTTGCTAATCCTGCTAGGAAGAGTGGGAGTAACTAAGTTGGAAGTGGGAGGGGTTTATTGAAGGTCATTATCTTTTGTTGTGCTTTTTGTTGCTCTTTCGTCCCTTATGGTCACCTTGGAGGATTAAGCTCTCTCTCTCTCTCTCTCTACTTGGGTGATAAAAATAAAATAAATTAGACCATGTAATGCCAAAGGGATGGCAATGAGGGGAAGTAATGAAGGCAGCCGTGGTGGAGGTGGCAATGATGGGTTGACTAGGGATTTCTTACGTCTTAGAACAATCTCTCCTAGGGGGTTTCCAAACATGACTGGGCTTGATCATATGATAGTAGTTATGACTAATATGGTATTGGTTATAATATAAAATCATATAAGTTCATAACTAAATGTATGGTACATCTAAATGTACCATAGCATCTATCTTTTTAACTATAGAGCAATCCCAAAATATTTTCCAACGTGTACTTTAAAGTTTACATTAGCAGAAAAAACAAATGAAATATAATAAACTAAAATATAAGAAGAGAGGGGTTTTGGTATCCTAAAATGTAAAAGAAAATGGGTCATATTGCTCATACAAACGAGTTGTAACATGACTAATTTGAAAGGGGAAAAAAATATTATTTAATTGGGTGCCTAATTGTTAAAGAAAGCTACTTTAGAAGTATCTTAAATTCTAATAATATAATCTAAACAAATCTACCCTTATCGTACCATGTTTCCGATCCCTTTCCACGTACAAGTAGATTAGTGGTTTGCTAATTTTTTTGACGGATTTTGTTGTTTGTTGTTGAAGTTTTAGTAGATTTTCTTGTTTGGTCCTTTGTTGTTTTTTTTTTATTGTTCTATACGATGTTAACATTTATTTTAATGTAATTGCTTTATAAATTTTCTCAACATATATATATATATATAAATTCAAGAGAACAAAATAAAAAAAACTCATGTATAAATAAAATAGAAAAAATCAATCAACCCAAAGCCTCTTAATTCAGCCCCCAAAATTATAAATACAATCAATCATGCAATTACTACTTTTTTTCATCTACTAGCAACTACATGTATAGCGACCCCGGTCTTTTTCCCATTTGATTATTGTATTCGGACTTAGGTTCCGTATATTCTGTCATTGTATAATTGTTGTTGTCGTCCTTTATTTTCTCATTTGGAGTTATAGGATGTGTTGGGCAGGTTTGTTTCAGGTTGGTTGGGTTTGGAAACCAAGTGTTGCTGTCCAGTTTTTGGGTTGGTCGCTCGAGCGAGGACTTGTTCGCTCGAGCGAGGGTTTTATTTTGTGTCTGGTGGCTCGAGCCAACTTTTCTTCGCTCGAGCGAGCTATTGCGTTTAGTATAGACCTGAGAGCAGTGTTTCTTCACTCGAGCGAGCATTCTATCGCTCGAGCGTGCTTCTGGGTTGTAGACCTGAAGCATTGCATTCTTGGCTCAAGCGAGCTTTTCTTCGCTCGAGCGAGGGTTTCGTGTGTCTGGTCGCTTGAGCGACCAAGTGTTCGCTCGAGCGAGCCTGTCGGGTTTATATACGCAGCAGCGGTTTTTAAAACGATTTTTCACATTCTTTTGATCCTAAAACCCTAGTCCCGAGTTCTCTCTCCCTCTACTCACCTTCTTTCTTAGGTTTCATCATCTTTTAGGGCGTTTCTACCCTAGTTGCTTTATTAAAAAGATAGAGTGAGACGAGAGCTTCATTTTAATCTGAGAGTTTGTAGTTTCGGAGCACTTTGGTTTTGGGTCATCATCTCCGTCTTCTCCATTCGGGTTATTTTCTTCGAGGTTTCTCCGAGTATTTTAAAAGCGCGTGCCCACGTGCGTACAGCTACGCTTACGATGATGGGTCTAGTATCTTCACATGTGCCTCTGCAGACTATGTCATCACCTTCTGCCCAACTCCTGCCACCAGGTAAATTTTGATTGAGCGCACTAATTAGTGCCACTGTTGTTAATAATGTGATAGTGAGTGTTGGTTTGGAAAGTGAATTGGTTTTTAAATTTTTAGAATTTTTGATTATTTTAATTTGGGTTAAAAAATTTGATTTGAAAAGAATTTTTTAATTTTTTAATTTTTTTTGATTTTTTTATGAGAGAAGAGTGTAATGATTGTGGGTTAAATGTAATGTTTTGTTTGTTGTGACTAAAATAATCTATTTTGTCTTTTGCAGCTATTTTAGTCACAAATCATCTTCTCAAACGGATCTTGAGTCTTACCTGCTGCCACAATGTTGTTGTGTCTTTTTTTTTTTAAAAAAAAAATGAATGTTACATTATTAGTGGTTGTTTTAGAGTATCACTCTCTGGTTTCTATCATTGCCTAATTTATCATCATACACCACCCAATTTTGGTAATTTTTAAATTTTTTTATTAAAATATGAAATAAAAAAATTTATATGTTTGAAATAATTTTTTTGATTTTTTATCAAAAAATGTGTAGAAAATAAAAAAAAAAAATTTAAATTTTTGGTATAGATTATAGATTTTTTAATTTTTTTTAGTAACTTTTAAACTAAGATTTCGTTTGGCAAATGTTTATTTTAGCTCAAAAGTTAAAAAATTATTTAAAAAAATCAAAAAAACTTATAATTTATACTAAAAAGTTAAAAATTTCATTTTATCTCTACTTTTTGCATATCTTTCCTTTAAAAAAATCAAAAAGTTATTTTAAACATACCAATTTTTTTATCTCATATTTTAGCCAAAAAATTAATAAAATAATCTGTTATCAAACTGAGGCCTAAAACTATTCAACTTGTTTGGTTATGGTTTTTAGAAAATAATTTTCAGAAAATTTTACTTTTTTATTTTCTGTATATTAATGTTTTCAATGATTTTTTTAATATTTTAAGCAATTTTTTAAAATTTTTAAACACAACTTATATAAATACATTTAAAAAGTATAATATTTGTGAACTTTTTTTTAAAAAAATATACTAAATATCAAAAAATATAAAAATTCAATATATTTTTCATATTTTGTCCATTTATTAATTTTTTAAAATATTTTTTCACAAATATTTTATTATTTAGATACATTTAAATAAGATACATCTTAAAAAGTAAAAAAAAATACTTAAAATTTTAAAAAATTCATTAAATAGAAAAAAATAAAAAAATAAAATAATATCATAGGTAATGTGGTATTAGAAGAATGAAACATCTTTATCAATTCTTCAGTCAAAAATAATTATATCTTTTTATTTCACTACAAAAATTTCAGATTTTTGCGACGGCATTTTGCCGTCTTAAAAAACTTTTAGCGACAACAAATAACTTTTAGCGATGACAAAGGGGGGTCACAACAGAGGGCATTGCAAAAAAGTTTTAGCGACAACATCATGCCGTCGATATATATATATAATTTTGTTTATTATTGGGTACTATAGATAAATAAAATGTGTATTAATAGTTTTGAATTTGAATTATTGAGCCAATACAAAAAGAGATTGATTCAAGAGTTGATGATTTAACTGTTGAGGGGTATTTTGGGAAATAGTTAAAAGTTGGCCTTTTGATTGTTTCTTTTGGGTGAAAGATGAAGTGAATTAAAAGTTGAATCTACTTACCAAAATAACCCTGAGTTAACAGAAATCAAACTGTGATAAGTGAAGTAAATATGATCCATTTTAATTGATTGAATGAAAGATAAAAGTAATTCGTTTATCCTCTTTTATGCAATTATATTAATTGAGTATTTTACGTATACATGTTTTATGAGCGTCTTACTAATTAATTTTCCCTAACATTTTACATTGATGAATACATTTTTGTTTGTTAATATAAGAAGTGATCACATTCGCTACCGGCGGATGGATAAGGTGACACAAGTCATAACTTTCGGCCATTTTTATTCTATTTTTTTCCTGTTAGGCTATGCACTAAAAAATGTTTCATCATCACACGTTTTGTGCATATTAGGCTTGTTTGTTCATACTCACATTATTACAATCTATGAATCTGAACTATGTTAGTCCAGAGAATGATGAAGTTTGTAATCATAGTAGCAAATGAATGCTGCATATTGCAGACCCGATGAGCCTTACTTTATCATTCAGCCTATGAATTATTTTGAAAAGATGAATAAAAGTTAATTTTTTAAATTTTTTTTAAAAAAATGTATAAAAAATATGAAAGATGATATGATCTAAAATGGATTAAAAATTAAAAATTAACTTTTAACCATCTTCCAAAATAGCCCTATGGTATGTTCGGTTATGAACGTACGGATAGTTATGTTCACTAATCCTTTTCCTTTATTTATTTATTTATTTTTATGTCTCTTTCTTTATGTCTTAACAATTTATCTTTATAATGAAGATTTTCTTTTTGATCTTAAAAATAAAAATTAAAAAAAAAATTTATCTCTTCATTAGCCTTCAAGATTTTTAGAAATTTTAAACTAAATATGAAAATGAGATTTTATCTAAAGAGATTTTTGAAAACTCAGGGCATTTGGCAATAGAAAGTTTCTAAATTGTTTATGTAGGTTGGCCAATCGACTAAGTGGCCCAATGATTTCATTTTTATATTTGTCTATATTAACAAAAGTTTTAACACCTTAAATTTAATTATTTTGTTTTTCAAAGTAGATTTCGAGTACATAACTGTGTATTTGTTTTGAAAATATTATCTTTTTAATAAATCATGTAAAAATTCAATCGATCAGAATCCTCGCACCCTATTAAGAGATCAATAGGTTGAGTACTTGATAGATAAAACTCCTCTCACTCTCTGGATTATGGCATTAGATATACTTTCGAAATATACGTACACTAGTATATGTCCGTACCTAAAGACACAGTGTAAAAAAAATAAGTGAGCAAAAAAGAGAAAAATTAAAAAAATAAATAAAGAAATAAGAAGGAAAATAAAAAGGGAGAAAATAAAAAATAAAAATATAAAAAGGAAAGAGGAAGGAAGGTGGGTAGGAGAGGTAAAGAAAGAGATTGCATGAGTGAAAAAAAAGAGGGAAAGAAGGAAGGTGAGTGAGAATTAAAGAAATTTTGACCCTTACTAAATTTAGGAATTAATCTCAACTCTTGAAATAAAATGTATCTCTAAGATATTTGGACACATTTTCAAAAACCCTTCCATTTTATTATGTGGGTGTTTGGAAAGTTACTATTTTAGTAGATTATTTTAGTTTTTGGTTATTTTAGTAGATTAAAATTTTTGTATTTAGGAAGATAGTTAGATTGTTTTACAGTTAGATGTGATGCTTGTAAGAGAAAAAGTGAAATGATTATGGATTTGATGTGACATCTTATCTTATTAATTATTTTATCATATATTGTCATTTTATGAATTTTAATCCAAAAAGTAAAAAAAAAACCTTTCGCGAAACATCTATGGATTTTACATGATAGGGGTCCCCAAATTCGATTCCCTTTTTTCGCAAAGGTTTTGGGATGCCATGGAGGCCGGTTTTTGATTCCTTCCAAAGCGACCGCGTTCCCATTTTTAGCCACATATACATGCCGTTCATATTGTTTCGTTTTATGCCTATGCTTGTCTTCTTGATAATATACAGGACCGTCCAACCTAAAATTACGACTTACAAGTCATGACACTTGCGAGATATTTAAGCAATTTGATTAACTTAAAATATTGTTTACTTGTATATTAATATTATATTTAAAAATTGCCGAATGATTGTTGATGCAGTCAAAAATCATCTGGAAGCCAACAAAACCAGGAGGCAACCACCGTCTCCTTGGTCTCAAGCGGAAGCAATTTAACATGCATTCCATCCTTGTTCATCACCGGCTTCATCGCCATTTTAGCAATAGTTTGGCGGTTGTGGTAGTTGCAGTGTCGGTGTCGGCGTCGGTGTCTGATTTCGCAGTCTCTCCAATCCATTTGCCATTGGGCTATTAGCCGTTTGGTATGAAAGGATTCTCCAGAGCGGACTTGAGGAGACAGCCAAAATGAAAAAGTCAAAAAATGATATTTATTGCTGGATGACCTGACAAACCCCAACTCTAAATTGGATTTTTTTTCTTCAAGAGTTTTGCGTAGTTGGGTGAAAGATTTGAAAAATAGAGCAAGGGAAGAGACAGTTAGCGTCATCGATCACGCCTCTGAGCTGGAAGAGGGACGGTGACAAGTCAAGTGCCGGCGTAGTGAGAATATTTTGTAATTTTATTATGTATACGTTTTCAATTTTTTGAATAAAATAAAAACATTGGGGACAATATTTGTTTATTTGGGTTAGTGACAACCATATGATCTGATCTGAGTCGAATTTAGATGTTTTGTTAATTGTTTTGATGTGATTTGGGAGCTTCTTTTGTGCGTATATGGGTATGACTTTGTCTTTCACAAGTTAAGATATCACTATGCATTTACTATACTCACCTTAGGTAAGCGTTTCCTTGGTTGAACATGTATCCCATATGAAAACTTGAAGAAAATAATAAATAAATAAATAAATCGGAGCTGCCATAATTTTTGCCACGCCAAATGAGCGTGTTCTACGCATGAAATTATAACAACCATAACAATAATAAATTAGGATAAATTACACTTACATCCCTTAAGGTTTGGGTTTAATGCATATCACTCTCTGACGTTTGAAAAATTACACTAACTCCCTGTCATTATAATTAGTTAGACGGAATGAAAATATTGAATTCATGCACTCTCTCTTTTTTTGTTTTGCTTTACTTTTTTTTTTTCCCCTTTCCTTTATTTTTTTTTAATGTAATTTCGTCTATTTTTCTACTAGGAGTTGTTATCTTTTATATAAACATGGGAGTTTATAAAATGAGACTATTAACTACAGGGGTGGTAATGTAATTTCTAAAACGTCAAGGGATGAGTTGTAATTGGACCAAACCTCAATGGGTGTCAATGTAATTTACCCAATAAATTATTATTAGATATCATCAGAATATTTTATTAAATTTTCTTTACTTTCCTACAAGTTTTCCCACGTGGCTAGCTAAAGTCTCGTTATTTTTATTATTTTCTTTTTCAGTAAAAAAAATCCAATATATTAAATAACATTTATCATAATAATAATATTATAAAAAAATGAAATTTATCATCACATTTATATCATCTCCTCATAATAATATTAGGTATATTCAAAAAATAAATATTACATTGAGTCTCGATACACCCTCAATTGATGTTGTAACAAGAAAGGTTTGGGTTCAAATTTCCTAATCACCTGTTTTTCTTGTTGGGGTACAGTTTGTTGAGGTTCCGCCTAACTTCACATCAGTGAAGTACTAAAATATCTTCCTTTATGATGTTGAGGTGCAGAGGTTTTATTTTAATTACGCATTCGATTGAAGAAATTCCAGTCACCTTACGTACAAGGGTTTGATTGGGACGTTTTCAGAATCTTAGAGTGCCCCCTTTCAAAGCAAGAAGGGACAGATTTAAAATTATTACTATAGAAATGCAAAAGAATATTTGAGAGTATAAAAATAAATTTTTATAATTTTAAATTATTTTAATTTTTTTTTAATGTAATCCCCTCTGCATCCTCCTAAATCCATCCTTGATGCCGAGGCTTTGCTAGAGGTAGATTCGTCCTATGCTCTGTTTTTGTGATCCAAAATTGCAACAATGATTCATATTATTAAAAAAAAAGATCAATAATAGTACTAATATATTGAGAATGTCAAAAAAAATAAAAATAAATAAGGCATAATTTACTGTCACATTATTAGTAATACTATTAAAGTACTACTTTTAATGCTCTCAACCACTTTTCTCAAAATGATTTAGTGTCCACCAACCAATCACTAATTGTCAAGTCTGTTGTTTTTCAAATCATCAATATAAACAGATATGTGGCTCCTACATTTTCAGCCATTCACTTTTAATTTGAGACATTATGTAGCCGTGCACTTGCGATTAGGGGTGAACAATGGATATATCGATTCGTTTAAATCAATGGAATTGAACTGATCTGTCGTATTTTGAATAGACACATGATGACAAGTGGACAGTTATAGATTATTTTTTTTAATCCACCTAGTTTTGGACGCATGACAGATTTGAGGTTCATTTGGCCGCAACAAAACCGTCAAACCGCGAGCACCCCTAATAATTTGTAAGACTTTATGTTTTCAATTGAAAAATAGTTTAAATATTCTGTTGAAAAAGAGTTTTCAACTTGAATATATTTTTTGAATTGAAAAAAATAAATATATTATTTATCTATATTTTTTTTGTTTTTAAGTCTAACTCTAAAAATAATAAATAAAAAAGATGATATATGCTGATGGATTTTTATTTTCAAAAACAGATATACATATAACAATACAGAAACATACAATCTCTACAATTATTCTGTTCATGATTTTGGTTGTTTGAATTGTTTTTATACTTTAAGAATCACATGTTGTAATATTTTAGGTAATACTTTTATGTGGATGAGACATGTTGTAATTGTAATATGTGGATGAAGCATATAGTGACTGTAATATTCTAAAGTTTCAAAATTTATTTCTTTAGATAAGGCATCCAGTGATTGTGATATTTTTTTAAGCCATTAATTGTAATACTTTTTTTTTTTCATTTTTATCATTTTTTTTTTATTAAAGGAAGTGCACAAGTTAAATTATGTTAAAAATTTATAAAATTTTAAACGCTAAAATGATTCGCATCCATCTGCCAATCCGCTCAATCTACATCTGCCAGATTGGCGAATGAATGCGGATTGATTTTCTCCAATCCACCAATCTAGCGAATGGATGACAGATTGAAAGTTTTGTAGTCGCAACTGACCCGCACCCACCCTTACTTGGAACATTGAATAACTTCTTATTTTATGTAATATGTGATCCGTTACAATAATTATTTATTGTTATTATTATCAATTGTGATAGAGACTCCCACGACTCCTACTCTCATCCAAACCATTCATAATATAGAGCCTACGTATACATAAATAGACCCCACACATATATCATAAGTCAAAATCAAATTAAAAATCATGATATTCTTTAAAAAAGGATCCCAAACATTTCTCCATTATTATTATGTTAAAGTAATGCTCGGCCAATATCCGTTCATATCACTCTACTATCATCATTGTAATCATTAACATGGCTGCCGCACTATGCCACTACCCAACCAATTTCATTGTTGCTATCACCCTGACTCCACTTAACTACCACCTCCATCACCACGACGGAGCTACCATTTCACCATCGTATAAAGTTGGGAAGGTACAATTTTAAAGAAAAATTTAATCAAAACCTCTATTGAATCTTTATTTGATGAAAATAATAATTTAATTTAATTTGTTTCATAAATTTTTAAAAGAAAAAATACATAATTGAAGATGAACAAAATAAAATATCTTTTTTTTTTAATTTTTATTTTTGGACAATATTATAAGAATAATGTGTTACTGTCAAATCAAGTAATATGTTATTGTTAGAAATTGGACGCCCATGTGGCATGACCCTTTAAACCTGAACCTTTTGAACCTTATCCATATAAAGTTTGAATTTGAATTCAAAATTTATTTAGATAACCATTCAGGATATCTATATCTATCATATCAATAGATGTGGATAGATGGATAGATTGATATATATGTGGTTATATCTATTGATAGATGGATAGATTGATATATATGTGGTTATATATCAGATTATATGGTTAATCTATGAGATACGTATATCAGATATACATTATGTGATTTTTACCCATAATCATTTTTTCCCATACTCTCTCTAACTCTCTCCCATAAAATAACGATCAAGTCATTTTGCACTGTGACTTGTGTGGGTGATACTCATTTTGTAGTATCACTCCATTGCTGGGTTCGTTGTTCAGATTTTGGAAATACGTGATTTACCCACGAGGTTCTTCGCTACAAGGTATGATTCTGATATTTATTTCCGCTGTAATATAATACTTTGATTTACATTGATATCAGAGCCTATTATGGGTATTTTCGTATTTATTTGTATGCGATAAAATATGTGTATAATTTTATACAAATATAAATACACATTATTTGCATGAAAATTAGATTGAGAATGTGATACATCTCATTTTTACGTCCATTAAATGTCATTTTTGAGACTATAAAGGTATTTATTGTGAAAAATGGAGTCCGACAGTACAAAATCGAACCAGAAAACACCCTAGAACCCTAGAAGGCGGAGCGTGGGCCTCACCCGCCATCCGACGCCGTGGGAGGCTTCCATGCGCCTCTACGCACTGCCACGTGCTAGGCGCTCTTCCCACGCGCTCCATACGCGCGCTGTCCGCGCCCTTCACACGCGCGCGTTAGCCGCGCCGCTTTGTGCCGTGCCACGTGCGCAGCTACTCGTGCGCCATGCTCTGCACCGTCGTTGAGCCGCCTCGCGCCGAGTTGCGCTGAGTTGAGCGGCGCGAGCCAAGCCGAGCCGTTTTTCCCAGCTGGCTTGGTTATAAGGCTCTGTTTGTTTTTTTTTTAATTCTAAATTACGTTAAATTGTCATAATTAATTCGTTATAGCTTTGTTTTAAGCTTTGTTGGGCCGAGGTGGGTGATGCACCTCTGTTGGGTCCGGAGTTGGTGAGGGAAACAACGGAGAAAGTTGAGCTTATCCGTAAGAGGCTTGTTACAACACAGAGTTGTCAGAAATCTTATGCCGACCGTAGGAGGAGACCTTTGGTGTTTGACATGGGTGATCATGTCTTTCTGAAGATATCACCTAGACGGGGATTGATGAGGTTTGGGAAGAGAGGGAAGTTGTCCCCTCGGTTCATTGGTCCTTTTGAGATCCTTGAGAGGATTGGCGAGGCTGCCTATCGTTTAGCTTTGCCACCGCAGTTGTCCGGAGTACATGACGTGTTTCATGTGAGTATGCTTCGGAAGTATGAGCCGGATCCATCACATGTGTTGGATTGGACTGATTTAGTGGTTGACGAGGATGTCTCGTATGAGGAGAGACCGGTTCGGGTCTTAGATAGGCGGGATCAAGTTTTGCGAGGCAAGACCATCCCTTTGGTAAAAGTTCTGTGGAAGCATCACGGAGTAGAGGAAGCCACTTGGGAACGTGAATTGTAAGTCCGCGAGAAATATCCGGACTTGTTTGGTGATGTGTAATCATGTGTCGAAATTTCGTAATTTTAATGAACTTTAAGAACATTGTAAATGTTTTGGTTTAATGAAAGTACATGGAAACTTGCCTCATCATGGAAGTTTATGGTAACATTGCATATGTTGAATATATATTGTTGAATTAGAGTTCTATCATGAAACTGAATATGATATTGAGAACTG